CTCATTAGAATCGTCTTAGTGAGCTGATTTGAATGGTGGTGGTTTCATCGAATTCTGTCTAGTGGTTCAAGAGTTATGGTCATTTTTGTAGATTAACAATATGAATAAAAATTAATAACTTTCTTCAATTTATTTCCTGTATTTTTAAATATAGTTTGTACAGTAATATTTAATATATGGGCGAAACATCACACAGATTGTTGGGTGCTATCAAACTAAATATCAGTTTTTAAAACTGATTTAGAAAATTCTTTCAAAAACTTATCATTCGCAGATGCATTATCATGTGTAATTGTCATTATTTTTGAAATGATCCTTATTAACCAAAGACATTCTTCCATTACATCAGCAATTTCAACACCTATATATCATTCATATATATAGATAAAATCAAGTAAAAGGTTTTTTATTGACCAAGATTTACTTAGATAATGAATTGTAACAGACATAAATGATTTATTATTATTGTTTATTGTCCAAATATCAGTTGTTAGTAACATATGACTAGGAACCTCCTGTAATTTTTTCTGGAGTCTAACACAATTTTCTTCAAAATTATTAGTAATGTGTCATCTTAATAAATTTGATGATAGTGCTGTAAAAAAATTAAATATCTCTTTAATACCGATTAAGTTATATCTATAAAAATTTGGAAATAATAGAAAATAATGCACCTATTGCACGTGGCTCTAAATATGTAAATATTGATTTAAGACTGTCATCTTCAATTATGTGAAATGATCAGTTATGCTTAATTACCTATTTTTTGACAAGATCAATAAATTTTTGAGGATTGAAAATTTTACAATTGTAAATTGTATTCTAATAAAATAATACATTATATATTATTTTTTTTTTTTTAAATATTAAGGTAGTACATGTGACCCAGGATTTTACTGATAGTATAAGTTGGCCAGCACCTATACATATACAGACACAGAGACAATTACAGAAAGAGTGTACAACTAGCCACTTGTATAACTTTAGTTATTGTCTAATTTAAGTAGTCTGCCTGAAGGTTCTACACTAGTTGCTATACCTAGAACCTACCTGTAGATCCTCTATTTAAACACTCTGATCCTGCATCCATCACATCTTACCAACGACTCCAGTAAACTGGTGAAGATATGCCATGGTTACTAAGTCATATTTAACTTTGTACTAAATCTACCAGTGCATTCTGTATCTCATACTTACAGCTCACCTAGTCATGCTTTGGCCTAAACCATCACTTGCAGTTAGGACTAATCATTAAACCACTTTTATCCTTGTAAGGTTCATCCAAAACCCTGATACCTATCTTTTTGACATCCTCTCTATTATCTTCTACTAACCGCTACTCAGGACCGACAGAACTCTCTGAACTTCCAATTCAGATGGCCCGGTATAGTATACCTTAGTATCCTTTTTCTTCAGCAATTCTGGTGGCCTGGTTGGTCATATGCTTCTCTACACATCTTGCCATCCGGTTTATTCGCCTATCCCTTTAGGGTGTTTCATGGGCTTCCATCAGTCTGACAGCACTGTCGAAAGTTTTGTGCTATCTCCTTACTCGGGATTTCCAAATAGGTTTCTGACTTTTCGGTTTCTTTGCTTTCTGCACCTGGTAGTCTTATCATGAGTTTGCACTAAAGTCTTATGCAACACTAGTTATTAACATTCCTCTATATAAGTGTAATATTACACTTAGCATAGATGTCCTGAGCTCTCATTCAAGATGGTGCAACAAAGATTACAGATACACCAATCCAACTGATCAACAGAGACAGTTACTATAACACAGACCTATTTTTCAAAATTCATCATCCATGGGATTTGAACTCTAGATCTGCCACTTGGAGGTTAACAACCTGACCACTTCACTAGGTTACTATACCCTTACATTACATATTATTACTCTAATAACAAATTACATATTATTAGAAAATATACATATAATTTCAAAATTTTACAACATTATGTGCTTGATTTGGCATTCTCAATTCTGGTACTTCATTTTCATGATAAGCAGCAAGATGTCTTCTAAAACTTGATGTTGACTTATTCTTTTGAATTTTTAAACTTTTATTGCAAAACCTATACTCTTCAACTAATTCATCTTTACTTTCTTTTTTTTTAAAATATAATCATACAAATGACCTATAATTATATATAATATATCTTAGTATATAGTAATAACTTCACAATTAAATTTTTTATATAATCATTACTTTGTAGTACTTGAAGACTTACTACCAGTAGTAAGTGATGACTCATTGCCTTCAGATTCATTTGAATTAGTCATAGCTATTAGTTGTTTCTGAACTTCATATATTTTTGTTAGTTCTTGAGCTTTATTGTAAGGTAATACATTCATTACTTTCTGAGTTTCATCATAGGATGATGCATCTGTCAGTTCTCTAACTTCATAAGACAATGCAGATAGACTTGACATTTTTTGTCAATCTTCTTTTCTTCAAAGAAATATAAAATCAATAGATTTTACAAAAGCCTTGGCTAATGTTTTTCTACACTTAATATAATTATAACTTTTTTTTTTAAAAAAAAAGCATTCACTAATAATATCTTTCTGCCCTCAAATTTTTTTTTTCTTTAAAAAAAAAAAGGCAGCTTTTATCTCAAAAAAATTTAAAAGTTTCTGTTAATGTCTTTTCCTTCCCAAAACCAATAAATGACCTTCCTTCCTCAGTATTGTTATAAAATTCAATGTATCGAATAATGAGAATAATGAAAAAACTAAATTATTACCTTTATATATACTAATTTTGTTTCACTTTCTTATTTCTTATTAGTCACAGATAAATTAAGTCTAATTGAAGATATGACATACTTGTAACAATAGAAATGGTGAGGATATTGTCTACTGGGTTGGTTCAGATTCTATCGGGTCAGATCATATCAAAATCAGAAGTAATCAATTTCATAAAACTGATCCAATTTGTTGGATCAGTATTGGATCAGTTCCGGGTTTTGGTTTGGGTTCAAGGAACACTAAATTGAACAGTCACAACTAAAATTATAAAGACAAATATTCGAGAGATTTTATTTTTGTTACATTATACTGATCTTTGAATTTATCTAATATTTTAACAGTTTGAATTAATAACTAAAAATAAAATAATGCCGGAAATATTGTTTTTATCCATTTTCTTAATTTTATTTTAAAAGTTTTTTTTTTAAAAAAATAATATGTATAACCTGCACTTTATTAAAAAATTGTCTCTTTTACAGTAAGTCTTATTAGAAGTTAATAGGTTATTTAAACTTTTACTCATATCAGATAAAAGAAGCATTAATTTATAAAATCATAACAAAAATAACAAATCATTTTTATATCTTTAACTTTAACTTCATAATGATAAATTGAAATTAGTAGTTTAATCTAACTACAACAGCTGTGGCTAAGCCAATCTAGCCAGCTTAGCCAAACCTTTATAGCTTACCTACAAGATTTTTTTCAGTACATGATTCTAGCCAATTAGATTAAAGGATCAGATGTATCATAAAAATCATGTCTTTTTAAAAAATCACTATTAACTCGAAATTTTATCTATGAAACTGCCTTCTGCATTCTAATAAAAAAATTACTTATAAAATTTTAGTATAAGCTATGCCCTTCTTCATCCCTTATCCTAATCTTAAGATGATGCTTAATTCGATTGTTTTGATTTTACATTACATCTAATCTTTTGATATAATTAGCTAAAAATCATGTATCAAAAAAATCTTATGAGTAAGCTACTATTAATGCTTAATTAGTCAATGTAATGTGATCAGCTGGCTAATGCAGCTAAAGATCATATGATTTAGTTTATGGTTTGATTTTAGTAAATTCTGAAAAAAAAGAAAATTTACTGAAATTTTTCAAAAGTATGGCTGTTAGCCAGCTGATTAGCTGATTCGAGGTAGGAACGTTCCAAATATAAAAATTGAAGAAGATCATTACACAAGTCACAAAAAAATTTTTTTATACAGGTTACAATACTTTTTTGTAAAACTAAAATTGTCTATCAAGGCAATGAAACGTGAACAAGTCAATTAAGCAAACTTGTAGCTTTTGCACTGTATTTTAATATTATTAACTAAATTCTTATAAATCTCACAACTTTTATATTACATTTTGCCTAGTGAAAAAATAGGCAAATCTAAAAAATATATAAAATGCAAAACTACTAAATCGAAAAAATTACACTCAGTGACAGGATATAAGTGAAATGAAGTTGAAGTTTACAATTTGGTAAAAGAAAATTGGATAAAGAATATTGTCTTATGTAGTTTTTGTTATATGAAATTTGTAAAAAATCTTTTAAGAAAAGATATTAAATAGTGTTACAAAGTAGATTTTTAGCATAGCATAGTATATTATATTATTAGTAGTTGTTATATATTTATTATTATATTTTATATTATATTT